ATACGAGCACAATATATTTAATATACCCACCACAAATTTGAAAATCAATAAATATGGTGAGTCAGTGCCTGGAAACATCCTCAAATTCACTAATTTTGAGAAGAAACTGCCTACACCTTTTGTAATGTATGCAGACTTCGAAAGTCTACTCAAACCATTTCAACACAATGAACCCTCTGACGAAAAATCATGTTCTGTTGAAGTATGTGAACATGAACCATATTCGTTCACGGTTTATGTAAAGTGTAATTTTGATGAACGTTTTTGTGAGAAAGTTGGATGAAATGGTTCAAGATTTATACACCAATCACATGAAGGATGTCCGTGAAATGCATCCGCTTACTGGGGGATTGAGAAGCAAACTTCCAAGAATAGCACCACGTGCCATATTTGTGGGAAGCCATTCAACAGATATGAGTTCGTGATCACTGCCACTACAAAAGAAAATTTCGTGCATCTACCCATAGTATTCGTAATCTGTACTACAAGACCTCAAAGACTATTCCCGTATTCTTCTACAACATCACAAATTACGACTCTCATCTTTTCATCAAGGAACTAGCAACGAAAGGAGAGAGAAAATCAGTGATAGCCCAAACTGAAGAAAAGTAGATTTCGTTCTCCAAGTCAATATTGGTTGATGAATCTAAAGTGTCAAGAGTATTTGATGAATATATTCAGTTGAGATTTGTCGACTCTTTTCGGTTTTAACCAAAAGTGTGGGCATAATTTTGTCACTGGCCTTGTGTAGGTGCTGTTTCTCGTCCTCACTACGGCTACACGAGCAATGCCATCTCCGCCAGGATACATTTTTTCTATAATGGCAAGAGGCCAATGCAGAGGAGGAATATTCTCATACAGAAACGACTTCGGCGAAGTCTCCCCATGTTTCACATTCGAACGTAATAAACACATCCAAAGCCATCTATTGTGATCTGTGCCTGAAAGTGATTCGATGGATGCCATTAGAGAACTTTTCTTCGTCGGTAGTTGAATTTCTTTCAATTTTTTCGAACAAATCACTTAGTTGTAAGGAAGAAGCCCTTTTTGTCTTCTCAAATCGAATTGTCTGTTATCTTGGAAGTATTTTCGAACCTCGTTATACTCCTGCACCTCCAAATTTTTGCCGAATATGTCGAGAGATTTTGGTAAAAATCGAAAAGAGTCGACAAATCTTAACTGAATATATTCATCAAATACTTTTGACACTTCAGATCAATCAACCAATATTGACTTGGAGAACGAAATTTACTCCTCTTCAGTTTGGGATATCACTGATTTTCTTTCTCCATTCGTTGCTAGTTCCTTGATGAAAAGATGAGAGTCGTGATTTGTGGGGTTGTAGAAGAATACAGGAATAGTCTTCGAGGTCTTGAAGTTCAAATTACGAATACTATAGGTAGCTGCACGAGTTTTTTTTTTTTGAGTAGTGGCAGTGATCACGAACTCTGATATCTGTTGGATGGCTTTCCACAAATATGGCACATGTTGCTATTTTCGAAAGTTTTTTTTCCAATCTCAGTGAGTGGATGCATTCCACGGACATCCTTCATGTGATTCTTGTATAAATCGTGAACCATTTCATCCAACTTCCTCACAAAAATGGTCATCGAAATAACACTTTACATAAACCGTGAACGAATATGGTTCATGTTCACACACTTCAATAAAAAATGATTTCTCGTCACAGGGTTCATTGTGTTGAAACGGTTTGGGTAAACTGTGAAAGTCTGCATATATTACAAAAGGTGTGGGCAGTTTTTTCTCGAAATTAGTAAATTTGAGGATGTTTTCAGGCACTGACTCACCTCAGCCTATAATTCCATGGAAAAGTCAAGCCCTTGAAAATCGAACAGGGTATTGTAATGTGGATATGATGATGTTCTCATTGTCTCTTCGTCTGCAGAATAAATCGCAGCATTGATGGACCATCGGAAACAGGCTCTCTCCTTGTTTCGCATATTCAAAACCGCATTTTTGGATTCAATAATTCTGGAAAGCTTGATGTATGAATAGGCCGAAATCGATGAGAATTTATCAATGTTCACATCCAAAAATATGGCATGTTTCAATATCCACACAGAATCACGTTCTTGGAACTCTGACGCCTTTACAATCATCTCTTGCGTGAAGTGATCATTATTGCACTCAATGTTCAATGATATTGTTGAGGTTTCATTTTTGCTGTTGAAGGACTTTTTATCAGATAATTCCTTTCCTGGTATGATATGAAATCCAAAAATTCGAGATTTATCTTCAAGCTGTGATGAGTCCCCAAATATTCTGTCAGGACTGCCGAAACTTTTGGTTTCACTTCTTGCAAGAAATCGAAAAGATCGGTATAGGCTATATTACTTGAATATCAATTGGTGGCTATCCTGTTCTTGAGAGCACAACTGAGTTCCACTGTCTTATTCCCCAAATTATTTTCAACAAGTTGATCTACTCTCTTCCATTTTTCAGGACCCTGAGTATCATGCTCATGTATAGGAGAATAGTTGAACAATGTGTTGGACGAAGTAGATGCTTGCTGAATCACCGCACTATTGTACTTCATCTTTTTCACTAGTGGTCCATTCACATCTCTATTATTTCTGCAATTCTTGCGTACATGCCGAAATAAAGAGCTCGTTGAAGGAAATTCATTGTTACAACACTCGCACTTCATTATCACTTAGTGTACCTAAACTCGTTGAAGAAACGTATGGACTGAGACTCGCTCGGACTAAACTAGAATACGCCGGCCCTTACTCGATTTCACATCGTTCAGTAGAGGGGTACCCGTATGCGCAACTGCTACACCGATTGAGAGAGAACATCTGCAGCTACCCGCATTCTGCTGCCCGCATTATTCTAATGACTGATACTATACCCGCATCAGGTTTGTTCGCGTTCCTAAAATTATCAGTCCGAAACCATCAGAAGCATGCGCAGTTTTATAAAAGTGTTCCCGTTTTTCCAGGACTGTTCCGTACTTCACAGGTTATGTGTTTTCGTTTTATGCGAACTATTTTGGGACAGTTTCGGATCGGTCCCAAGCAGTACGAGGCTGTGGGCAAGAACTGTTCATGACTGTCGTGAATAATTTTGGTCGCGCATGCGTCCTCATGTCGTTGTTTATTATTATGCATTTTTAACCTCTAAATTTAGTAAAACAAAAAATTCAAACTATCAAGAGCAGAACAACAGACAATGGAAATATTCTGCTCCAGCTCATCTTCCTCTTCGAATTCAAATGATGAAGAAATGTTTTTAAACATAAGTCTGCCAGAAATCCTCAAGGTTCATCCAAAAAATGTTGGTTATGTTATGTTATGTTCTTCGTAAATCTCTGCTATCATCCCTTCACTAGCAATACCAATCAGACGAACTAGACAAGCCCAGTCAGCACATCCTTTCGTTGTCAACCTCGAAAGATGTCGAACAGCACTTTATCAAGACTCCTTCATCCATAGAACGGTTAGGCTCTGGAATTCATTGCCTGTGGAAGTATTCCCAACAACATATAATCTCCAAAAGTTCAAAAAAAATTCCAATACCTACCTCCTGTCCCTATCCTCCCTAGGAACGCACGATGTTCTTTGAACATTATAGGGATTCCCTTTCGTGCGCTCCAAGCGATAAAAAAAATAAACCTATACCCAGATAAGGAATTCAGGGATCATTTTAGGTAGGTAGGTCGGTATATTAGTGGAACTATTCAAAATATTTTAGACATGTAGGCTGATATATTCATGTGATCTTTTCAGGCTGTCTAAACACATTGCAACTACCATAGCAAGTCAGTATCAGCAATCTGAATTTTATCCCAAAAGTGAAACAGGCCATCCAAGAATACCTCCAGAAAAATGCATAATGATTTTCTTGTAGTATGCAGGGCATGAGGCAGCTTCTTTTCGTGATGTGGCTGATCGCTTCAATGTCACAATGAGCACTCTACAAGAATTAATAGAGAATGTATCATTATTTATATCGAATTTATCAAAAACAGTTATTCAATGGCCCTCTGAGGAGGAGAAATTAGAGATATTGGCTGACTTCACAAACATGGGTTTTCCTGATGTGTTGGGTTGTATGGATGAGTGCCATATTCGAATAGATACTCCAAGTGATGATCATGTATCATACTATAATAGGAGAAAATTTTTATGCCATTCAAGTAAGAGCCATGATGGCTATCATGTTTATTTTCTGTCCAATGTTTCCTTTTAGATGCAAGTTATTTGTGACAGTAGAAGAAGAATAAAGTATGTATTTATAGGGTATCCTGGTGCTGTGCATGACAGCAGGGTATTCAGGAATTCACCTATCTTTCAGAACCTCCAGGATAAGTGTGGAGACAAATTCATATTGGCTGATAGTGCTTATCCTTGTTTCCGAAATGTTTTGACTCCAGTCGAAAAACATTTCAACAAAACTTTAAGCCACTGTAGAGTGGTTATAGAACATACATTTGGTATCCTTGAACAGAAATTTAGACAACTGTACCACGTGAAATTGAGAAAAATTGAAACAATTTGTCATTTCATAAGAGTTTGTTGTGTTTTACATAATTTGGGTATCAATGATGATGCTGACATTGATTGGAACTTCAACGAAGATAAAATAGGTGCTGAATTTAATGAAATCATTGAAGATGAAGAAAATGAAGGTAATTCTATGGGACACAATTTTTTGAAATCATATTGCCAGTGTTTTATATTGTCAAAACAACTAATCAGATTTTGTATTATACAGATATTCGAGATAACTTTGTATGAATAAATGCCAAAACTATTTTTGTTTTTTATTCAGTAACTAGAACACAGCATGAACATCACATATTTTTCATCATTAACACAACAAATTGAAATTATGCTCAACATAACATAAACTTTAGTATCTAACAGTCTCATTTCTACTAGATAAGATCTGAAATACTGTGGTCCTAACTAATAAATTATCATTGTCACTAACTAGTGCACCCAGATTTTTTCAGAAAAACTCTAGGTGTACCAATGTTGAACAAAATACAACAGAAAGGTCAATCTCATTTGCTCAGAAAAAAGAAGGGTATTCTGAATAGCTCAGGAAAAGAAATAAAAATGTTCAATTGTTCAAAAAAAAAATTGGTTGTTATGCCATCCCAATAAAGTGGTTCTTTTCAGTCTGTCCTCCAATTTCTTCTTGTTGATTTCTAATTTTTATTTTTCGATTTCTAACTTTTTATCATTATATTCCTTTAGATCATTCTTCATTTCAACTAAAATGTCATTCTTTTTTTTTATAAAAAGGACCATCTCGATTAGCATTCCTTCTCTTCCTCTTCATACCTGGAGCCAACATGGGAGTAGATATAGTGGGTTGAGGTTCTTGAGCCTGAGAATTATCTTCTTCAACTAAGGAAATGACAATTTCCTCACCTTCTTCATGGCTTGGCATAGCATCTTCCCTCGCATCTCTCAAGTTTGGCACTACTTTTGTAGGCACTATACTCTCATTATCTGTCAGTAATAGCAAAGGCCTGTAATTTGCTTTCTTGCCAAATATTTCATCGAACTCTGTCTGATACTCAAATGCTTTAGCTGCCCTTCCAGTTTTATTATTGTTATCAACCACTTTCTTATAACTCCTTTCCAGAACTCTGAACTTATTTTCACATTCTGCTGGACTGATGGTGATTTTGAAAGCATTGGACATCTCTCTTGCAATTATTTCCCACAATCTCTTCATAGTTTTAATGTAACCAGACGCTACTTTCGGCTTATTCTCCTTATATAAATAAATTAACATGTTTTCTCTCTATCAAAATAATTATGGTCTAGATCATGTTCCTTCCATGATAGAATTTCATTTGGAACATTTACACCTGTAAGTAAAATATGTATGCTCAGCAAGTTCATTTGAATACCTATCAGGGTTCACTTACTGTACATATTTGTATTTTGTTATTCAGTTTAATAGTTAGTGAATTCAAAAAACTGTTCTAGTTTCCAGGATTCTCAAAATTTCAAGCAAAGACTCCAACATAAAAAACCGTTTTCTATAACAGACTTCAAGAGTCAAGACACATCGTTGACATAATAATATGTCATTGTCATTTGATTTTCGGAAAAGAAGAAGAATAAAATACGCGTTCTCATTTATCTGGATTTCAAACTATCCGAGACTTGTTTGGGATTTAATTTTATGCGCACCTGATTTTGCGCAGTCCAAGGACCGTTTCAACAATATGGAACGCGAACAAACCTATGATTTTGATTACCCATACTATACCCGCATCATTCTGATGGCTCACGCTTCACCCGCATATGATTGAATCATGGTGCACATGTTTTCCTTGATGGTGTTTAATGAAGTAGGATTGAATTGATCAGATGACTCTAAGTGCACATGTTATCAAGTACTCAATGAAATATATTTGAATAAGATCATGGAGCAGGTGTTTTTTCCATGATGGGGTTTAATGAAGTGGATTGAATTAGTCTGATGTCAGAGTGCACGTGTTATCAAGTACTTGATGGAATATAATTGAATTAGATCATAGAGTGTTTTCCTCGATTGGGATAATTGATTCCATGATCAATTAGGGAGAATTGAATGAAGTGCTGTGATTGGTTGCTTGATGCCATGATGCTGATAAAAGAACTATCAATATATACCTACTACTAGAATCGCACCAAAGGAAGACGAGCAGTGCTCGTAATGGTCTTCAAAGGGACACTGACCTGGATATAAACAACCCTGTAGTAACAGTCAGTACATTCGATCTGATGAAAACATTACCTACTCCCTTACTCTCAATGGGCGTTTATTACTATAAACGACAGCTATATCGTATTGCTTCGGAATCCACAATATAGGAAACGACGATGTTTACATGTTTGTTTGGAATGAGTCAGTAGCCGCTCGAAGCCCTCAATGAATCCGGTCTTGTATTCTCATAAAAAATTCGTTACAACAGAACACCTTATAATGAAGTACTACGATCAGTGTAGTGGCTAAAATCGAAACATTCAGCTATCTCTTTTATGTCAGTTCATTGTTTTTATTCCTGATGACGCGGTAAAATACAGTGATCATAAATTTTGAGTCAGTGGACATTCATATTTGCCATGCCACCAAGACTTCGGTCTCATAAAAAAAAGGAATTGTGTCTGAATATTATCATTCCAGAGGACTGGAATAATGTTATTTTGACGGCACGTGAGAACCCTCCGTTCAAAATAATTGTTATGAATGGAAACGATTCCTTTTCAAGGAAACACAAGAAACTTAACGTTGATGAGTCTAAAGACATTCTCCTGGGGATCTTCAGAATCTTCCTCTGCTGGCTTTGTGTCAGGCGCAAAGAAAACCGTTTTCCTAGTAAAATGTGTGCTCCTGAGTTGGTCGATATGGTGTTTATACACGTAACCATCGTCAAGTTTCACTAGATAGTGCAGGTAGCCAAACTCCTTTGCCAACATACCAAAACGCCATGACGTGTGATTATTATTATAGTATCGAGACAGAACTCGATCTCCAGCCTTAAATGATCGGATACCTGGAACTGGATGTGAATGATCTGGTTCATAAAATGGTTTGATGGCATCTAATCAAATCCGGAAAATTCGTTTCAGGTAGAGTTCAGTATGAGTTTCCCCTGCGGCAAGTGGAGTTGCTTCATACTGATACATAATCTTCTGTAATTCTTGATTGAGCGACAAATCTGTATCTTCCATGGCCTTCAAACGATTCTTAATGGTCGATTTTTGTTTCGGCATCTACAATGATCAAGAGATGTTTGTTTTCATATGGCCCTGCATGATCCATGTGAACACTATCCCAGTTTTCAAGTGGTTCGTCCCACGGATGGAGCGGTGCTTTGGGTGGACCTGGGTTGAGCATAGCACATGTTTCGCAAGATTTAACGATATTCTTATTGCTCGATCCATCTCACTCCAAGTACAGTAACGGCAAGCCAACTGTTTCATTTTGGTGATTCCTATATGAGTGCTGTGCAATTCCTCCAAGATAAAATGCTGGAGTGCACAACCTTATGATCTCTGAAGAGGAAACCATTGTAGAGTGTGTATTGAAGATTCTCTACCGCTCCACCAGTAAGACCATTCTTGATTTTGAAGCGTTCCTCATCCTTATCAGTTTCTCGAGCAATGGTCTCTGCTGTGACTTCTTCCGACGAAATCTGATATATTGAATACGAATGTATCACGAGAACTTCCTAGATCCTCAGCCGCACCACCAGTAAGACCATTTTTGATTTTCGAGAGTTCCTCATCTTTATCAGTTTCTCGAGCAATGGTCTCTGCTGTGACTTTTTCCTACGAGATCTGATATATTGAATACGAATGTATCTCTTCTTGATTTATTGAGGTATCGATTGTTCGAAGATTCGATTTGATGGGTGTTCTGGATGAACAATCGACGTCGGTGTTATCTGAACCTTTTCTGAACTTTGTTTCGTAGTCGAATCCTGACAAGAACGAAGCATATCGAAGCAAACGAGCAGATGTCATAGCTGGAAGTTTGTTTAGATGATGAATACTTCGGATGAGTGGCTGATTATCTATGATGTGTTGAAAATGACGGCCATGCAGGTATTGTATATGTAGAAATGACTGACTGAAAAAAAAAACGCCACAACTTCCATGTCAAGCTGACTGTAGTTCTGCTCAGCAGAACGGGATGCGAAAGCAACAATCATCTCCTGTCCATCAACTAGATATGAAAGGAAACCAGCAATACCTGTAGGACTTGCATCACATGTGAGTAGAATCAGTGAATCTGGGCAAAAAAGTACGAGAACAGATAGGATATATGAGCAAGCCAATGTTCGTTTAGTTCATCGTCCCAGTATATCACCTGACGAAGCTACTGTGTTAGCGAAACATGTCGTGTGTTTGATAATTTTGTGGAAATCTAATCGTTTGTGAAGTTTTTACATTTACCATGGATTTTCATCAAGAAATGGCCGAGTCAATTCAAAACCCATGATAAATACTTTAGAAGGCTTCAACAATTGGTTCTTTGAGCTCTGGAACCAGGAAGAATATCTTGAGATCGAACATTTGCGGGCAGGAGGAGCACAAGATACAATATGGGTGTTCCGCCTGCAAGATACGGATTTGAGGAAGAATTACGAACGGAAGTAAGAGTAGAAGAAAAGAAGGGCAGAAAAGAATCCTCAAGGGCAAGATCGAGAAGCGGTATGTGCAGCGATCAAGATGAGAGGACTACAGGAAGCAGAGAGAATTAGGCATCTGCAGAAGGAGTCGAGAGAACATCTTCGAAGTCAAATGGAACAATGAGGAGGCTGATTAATAAGGCGAGGGAGATCAAGCTACAAATGCTACAGGGACAATTGGAAGCAGTACAGGAAGAGGAATCAGTAATGACATCCGGTAACGGCTCTGAAAGAATATCAGAAGCAGGTATTTCGAAAGAGGAAAAACGGAAGTATACACACACTGGGTGGATCAAAGTAAGAATGGCATTTATTCAAATACTAAAATCAATACCATTGATGAAGATTTTGATGATCTACCCAATATTGAAACATACCATAGTTATACAAATAATTTCAAAATGGGAGCACATCAGAGTCATTATATTTCGGACAATAATCCTTGTGATGACCGTCCAAATACGAGAGAAGCAAATATTCCAGATATTCTAACAAAATGTATGCAAAATTTGAGTTCCAATATTGGAGGATTAGCCACGAGACAGTATATTTCCCCTTTGCCAGAATTTCATGATGATATCAACGAATTTCCTTTTTGGATCAATGAATACGAGCGGTCAACTAGAGAAAGAAATATATCGAATGCATAGAATCTGGATCATTTACAAAAATGTTCAGAAGGTCGTGCGGAAGAAATTGTGAAGGATCTATACTGTAGCTCGAACAACATCATTGAAACACTAAAACTTAATTTTGGAAAAACCGAGTGGATAGTAATAAATTTGATGGAATGAGCGAGGAAATGTATCAATCTGAGAGAAGATTCCATAGATTCCTTCATTCAATTTTCAGTTGTATTCTCTAACATGCTTCTCAATTGAAAATATTAAGATATGTATATCATAACATTTCAATATATTCAATGATCTGTCTTCGTTATTATACAAAATGTAGTTTCGTCGTTGAGTCGATTACATATAACAGTTTGAAGTAGAACCAAATTTCTCCTCGCTCCGCCCCTGCCTGCAACTCTGCATCACGCCACAGTCCCTCGATATTTGTCACTTTTCGTTGTTGTATCGATGAGTACAGACAGCAACAATGTTAATAGTGAAGCGTTGTTGGGAATGAAGGAAGAGAAAAACGCAACTTTTGAAAAAACGTGGGAAATAAAAGGAAGAAACGTATGAAAAATAAATTGCATAAGGAATTAGGAGAACTGGAACGGAAAATTAGAGATTCATCGAGTAAGTACCTAAAATAATTGAAAATTGATTCAAGGTTGTGAAGCCTGTTAGAAACATTTGAAATCCGGGAATGAAACGAATCTTATAATGGTGTTACCTACACGGCGTTCAACTGATTATTGAATCACTTGACTAATGAAATGATCATTTTCACGAATTTTTGTGATCATTAGAATACATATTGAAGAATATGATTTCTATGTCCCGAATTATGGGCTACAGCGTCCATAGATAGATAGATAGATTTATTCGACTATGTTACTCATACATATTATGGTTTATAGCACGTCAGGGTTACAGAAGCATGTAGAAAATAAATCACAGAACAATTTTATACAACTAAATGAAGTACTATCATG